TAAACTAGATCTAAACTAGATCTAAACCAGGTCTAAACCAGGTCTAAAACAACGACTAAACCAGGACTAAACCAGGACTATACCAGGACTAAAACAGGACTAAAAGCAGGTCTAAACTAGATCTAAAATAGATCTAAACCAGGTCTAAAACCCACGACTAAACCAGGACTAAACCATGCTGGGCGGACGTGTCTCCTCCTCTTCTATCAATAATATTTTTAATGCGGTTAAGGAAAGTCTGGGCTTTTTATTTATTTTTTTTAACAGACAAAACATCTTGTTATGATTTCCTCGTCTTTGCTTCTCTACAGTAAATCAAGTAATTCAAAGTTACATTACTCACTTTAAGTACCTTAATGGATTACGTTACAAACTACATTTTGGTGTGTGTAATCTGTAATCTGTAGGGGAATACATTTTAAAAGTCACCTTCCCAACACTACATATATTGTATTTTTTGGATTATATGGCACAATATCAATATGTTGAATCAATCAATGTTAAATCTTCTCGTCTATTTTCATACAGAAGTTTGACTGGATTATAAGGCACATTAAGAGAAACAAACAGTCGACACTTAAGACTGATCCTCACATCGAGGTGTAATTCGCCCGGTGTTGTCTCTCTGTCTTGGTGAATGTGGATTATGAATGTGAACGTGGCTGGATCATTTAATTTAGTTTTTTTTATTCCTTACGAGGACGACTCAAATATACATTGAGTAATAATGTGTTTAATTCAGCTTTGTCACATGTGTTTACGTTTTACAGAAATAAAACTTAAAACCACATGACTCATTTGCATAAACTATAAACTCTGGAAAAAAAAAAAAAAACAGCTCGCTCGCTGTGCGCTGATGTGGTTCAGTTTCTCTCGGACTAAAGGAGACGACTCAGAGGAATATGTGTGTTCTTTCTGTGTCGTACCAAAACACTTTGACAGATTATTGAGCGTTGTGTACCACATAAAATCAGTTCAAGGTCAGTAACACAACCAGAATGAATACATAAGGTGCACACTGGCGATTGTGGGGAAAATTAAAGGATTTTAAGTGCGCCTTAGTGTCTGAAAAATACTGTACTTTATTGCATGTTTTGTATTTTGCTAAACCAAAATCCAATAATGGTCCTGGTTTAGACCTGGTTTAGACCTGGTTTTAGACCTGGTTTAGACCTGGTTTAGACCGGGTTTTAGACCTGGTTTAGTCCTGGTTTACTCTTGGTTTAGACCTGGTTTAGACCTGGTTTAGACCTGGTTTAGACCTGGTTTAGACCTGGTTTAGACCTGGTTTAGACCGGGTTTAGACCGGGTTTTAGACCTGGTTTAGTCCTGGTTTACTCTTGGTTTAGACCTGGTTTAGACCTGGTTTAGACCGGGTTTAGACCGGGTTTAGACCGGGTTTTAGACCTGGTTTAGTCCTGGTTTAGTCTTGGTTTAGACCTGGTTTAGACATGGTTTGGACCTGGTTTGGACCTGGTTTAGACCGGGTTTAGACCGGGTTTTAGACTTGGTTTAGACCTGGTTTAGGCCTGGTTTAGACTGGGTTTAGACCGGGTTTTAGACCTGGTTTAGACCGGGTTTTAGACCTGTTTTAGACCTGGCTTAGACCTGGTTTAGACCTGGTTCAGTGTCCGGCAATGAAAGGAATTACCGAAAAAAAAAAGAAAAGGGGCATAGCCCAAAATGTGAAAACAGGAAAATCCCTCTGTGTAATCCATTTATTTCAAAAAAGTAACTGTAATCTATTTACCACTCACTGAAACAGTAACTGTAACTGTTACTTTTACTCTTTACTGCTTTATTACGTAACTCTGGTACATGTAATCTGTTACTCCCCAACACTGCTTATATGGTGAAGTCTTTTGAACTACTTGAGTCATTTCCTAACAAACTGAGAGTTCTTCAGTAAAACCGTTGTATCAGTCGCGTTATTGCTGCTCTTGAAGCGTTCTAAAAAAAGTAGCATAATGCAGTGTCTTTTAAATCAGACGTTCCAAACCGAAGTGCGCCTTGATGTGCTGAGTGGAGGCTCTTGTGGGTGTGACGTGGCCATCTGTGTTTTGAAGGAGCTGTGAATAATTGATTGGTCCATGTTTATGCAGGAGGACGGACATCTCCTCTGCACAGACCTGCTAGCTGTAGCTTAGCAACACTGGGCATCAGCCGGCCCCCCGCGGAGGCGTGATGTCCGCTCGGAGTCTGCTGTAGGAGGGGCTTCCACTTGTCTCCTTGTTGTTTTGGATTACGATGTACGTACAGTGTTGGGAAGGTGACTTTTAAAATGTATTGTGTGTACAGATTACAGATTACATACCTCAAAATGTAGTTTGTAACAGAATCCATTAAATTACTTAAAGTGAGTAATGTAATCTGAATACTTTGGATTACTTGATATTGTCATGGTTTTTAAAACGACATGAATGTACCAACCACATCCTGAAAATTCTTGTTTGTTCTCTTCAAATTGTCTGTTGAGCCCAAGTCTCCATGAACAGACTTTTGTTTTACTGTAGAGAAACAAAGACGAGGATCTGAACATAAGATGTTTTATCTGCTAAAAGAAAATAAAAAGCCCAGTCTGTCCTTAACCATTTAAAAAATATTATTGATAGAGAAATGATTTTCATATGAAATCACTGTTGCCTTCAGTTATGTCCACCCTAATGTTAGTGTCATATTGTTTATAAAAAAAATAAATAAAATAAATAAATCACTTTCAATACAAACAGAAAGGCACCAGCCCAGTAAAAATCAGTAATATTTGATGTTTTTACTCAAAATGATGCAGAATCAGATTCTTAACAACGACAATTATTAACGACCTGGTCCACTGTGTGACTGATGCCACCAACATTAACAAGACGTTTACGTGGCTTTTACTGCCGCATTCTGTTTCCAACAATAAGTGGAATTATTGAAATAAAACTAAGAAAAACGTGAAAATAGGAAAATCTCGCCATGTAATCCATTTATTTTAACAAAGTAACTGTAATCCAATTACCACTCATGGAAACAGTAACTGTAACTGAATACAGTTACTCATAATTTGTACTGATTATGTAACTCCAGTACATGTAATCTGTTACTCCCCAACACTGTGTACATGTGCTTTACCAGTGTTGGGGAGTAACAGATTACATGTACCAGAGTTACATAATCAGAGTACAAATTATGAGTAACTGTATTCAGTTACAGTTACTGTTTCAGTGAGTGGTAATTGGATTACAGTTACTTTGTTGAAATAAATGGATTACATGGCGGGATTTTCCGGTTTTCACATTTTGGACTAAACCAGGTCTAAACAATATGACACTAACAGTAGAGTGAACATAATTTAAAGCAGCAGTGATCTCATATACAAATCATTTCTCTATCAATAATATTTTTTATATGCTTAAGTAAAGACTGGGTTTTTTATTTTCTTTTAACAGACAATTATGTTATTATTTCCTGGTCTTTGCTTTTCTACAGCAAACAGTGGCTTATTCATGGAGACTTGGGCTCAACAGACAATTTGAAGACAACAAGAATTTTCAGGACGTGGTTGGTATGTCCATGTAGTTTTAAAAAGCATAACAATATCAAGTAATCCAAAGTAATCAGATTACGTTACTCACTTTAAGTACCTTAATGGATTCCATTACAAACTACATTTTGGGGTATGTAAACTGTAATCTGTAAGGGAATACATTTTAAAAGTCACCTTCCCAACACTGTGCTTTACAAAGTGCGTAGTTTGGTTCAGTGCGTCTGTAATCGTAGAGTTTTGGCCGGGGCCCGTCTCCAGTTCTTGAGCTGCGTCGAGTCTGAGTCAGATATTCATTATGCATTGTTTGATTTGAAGTGCTGCCCTCATTTTGAGCTCGGGTACAACACTTTGGTTGACCGGAACTGTATTTATCCATTTATTTAACCTTTCTTTCTTTATTCGCGTTAGAGCGTTCATGTGTGATTTATGATGTTTTAGGTTTAGGCAGGAGGAAAACTGTGGCCCCTGTATCACTATAGAAACCCACTTTGTGCATAAAGGCTCCATGTTTTATTTATTATTAATCTTTCTTATTTAAATTTGCTCTGGGCTGTTTTGATGCTGTTTACAAGTGTTTGTGTTGATGATCTCCCAGTGCACGAGGATGAGGAGAGGGTGAAGAGGACGAAGAGGAGGTAGAGGAGACAGATGAGGAAGAAGGGTCAGAGGAAGCACTGGGGTCAGAGGAAGCAGATGAGGAAGAAGGGTCAGAAAAATACAGAAGGGTCAGAGGAAGCAGAGGAGGCAGGGGGGTCAGAGGAACTAGAGGAGGCAGACGGATCAGAAAAGGCAGAAGGGTCAGAGGAGGGGATGCAGAGGGGTCAGAGGAAGCAGAGGGGTCAGAAGAGAAAGAGGGGTCAGAGGACACAGACGAGGAAGAAGGGTCAGAAAAATGCAGAAGGGTCAGAAAAATGCAGAGGAGGCAGAGGATGTCAGAGGAAGCAGAGGGGGGTTAGAGGAAGCGGAGGAGGCAGAAGGGTCAGAGGATGTCGAGGGGTCAGAAGGGTCAGAGGAAGCAGAGGGGTCAGAGGAGACAGAGGGGTCATAGGAAGTATTGGGGTCAGAGGAAGCAGAGGAGGCAGACAGGTCAGAAAAGGCAGAAGGGTCAGAGGACGCAAAGGGGGTCAGAGGACGCAGAGGGGTCAGACGAAGCAAAGGAGGCAGAGGGGTCAGAAAGGGCAGAGGGGTCAAAGGAAGCACTGGGGTCAGAGGAAGCAGAGGAGGTAGAAGCGTCAGAAAAGACAGAAGGGTCAGAGGAAGCAGAGGGGTCAGAAGAGGGAGAGGGGTCAGAGGACACAGAGGAGGTAGAAGGGTCAAAGGAAGCAGATGAGGCAAACAGGTCAGAAAAAGCAGAAGGGTCAGAGGACGCAAAGGGGGTCAGAGGAGGTAGAAGCGTCAGAAAAGGCAGAAGGGTCAGAGGAGAGGAGGCAGAGGGGTCAGAGGAGACAGAGGTGTCAGAGGGGTCACTCACGTTGGCACTCTCTGCAGCAGGCGCCCTTGACGTAGGCTGCCACGGTGCCCCCCGGACACTGAGGGGGAGGACAGGAGATGGCCTCACACTGAACTGTGCCGTTCTGAGAAAACAAAAACAAAAAACAAATACAAAAAAACATTAGATCAGATTTACAATTCATTTACTTTAAATACAACAACAAAATAATCTGAATTTTTTCACAATAATGGAGCTTGTGAATTACTGTAAAAACACTTGTCACAGGACAGAAGTGCAGTTTTTTCTATTTATTAAACTGTATTTTCTGTAGGGAAATTGACAACACTTGAGCACAGAGATGTAACAATATCCAAATCTCTCAATACGATATTTTCACGATATTATGTAAGCTAACTAAAATTGTGAATATGCTTCTTTTCTCTCATAATCTAAATAATTAAGAGTTAAAAGTTCTTTATAATCATTATGAAAACATGTAGACTGGACTGAAACAGAGCAAAGGATCATGGTCTATGTAGTTCCCTCAGTTTTTTTTTAGCTGTTGCACCATAACAATGAATTTAAACAAAGAGGCTTCAAATTTGATAGATTGTGATGGTCCATGATATTATTGTGAGACTTTTGACAATATAATATCATGATATTTCAGTTATTGTTACATTGAGCATGATTTTCATTAGTGACTAGACCCAAGATCTCAGTGTATTACAACAAAAAATTTTATTTAAGCAATATTATTTTTACAAATATATAAATATATATCAAATAATAACACTGCTCTGGTAGAATCAGGTCTGCCTGAAGAAAACATTTGATAATAACTAGTTTTGTAATGAGAAAACAATATGATTATATTAAATTTTTTGTGATTGAATGAATTCAGTTAAATTAATACAAAAAATGCACATCTTCCCTGCATTTACTGGTCAAACAATGTAAAAAAAAAAAAAAAAAAAAGACTCAACCAAGACCAACCCCTTTTAACCATTCACTTAAAAAAAAAGCAATTTTCTGTAAAATTGAAAACTCGTGATATATTAATGTACTTGTGATACCAATATCTATATTTTTATATCGTATATTGTGCAGCCTTCTTTATAATCTCTTTTTCCATAGCAACCTGTTCATCTAATCCATCTAATCCACATGCCTGGTGTGTCTCCATGCATTAACTAATTAACATGGCTTCCACAGATGAAACGTTCAGTGACAGAAACATCTTTCAACCTGCTCCACATAATTGATAACATCTTAATGCACGACCTTTGCATTTTAAAGGGCACCGCTAATTAGCACGCATAAGGTAAGCCACACATTTCGATCAAATGCTTTAATTACATATCCTAGCACTGGCACCAGGCGTGCCCCAGCCACGAGAGCTGCTCTCATTGGACGAGTGGGCAAAATGAATTTGTGACGATAATTATCCACTGTCAGGAACAATTAGGTGTGGTGCTCTGAGAAATGACACTACCATATTTTTGCGTTTGGGGTAGTGAACCGTTGAGGCATCAGATTGGCTGGTCTAAAAGGGCGTCTCCGCATGACTGAATCTTATATGTTTTAAATCCGGATAGACTGACAACTGTGAAATGCATTTATAAAGTACAAGTCCAAATGTTAATACTGCTTTTTGGCAATTATGCTTGGTTTGAATAAGCTGAAAGTAGACTCGTGGGAGAAGCAAGCGTTACTAAGCACGACTGTTGATGTGTCTAATCCACAGCCTCTGAGTACGGTATATTTGGACAAAGTGCAGATTTTCACTAGAAACCTATTACAACAATACTGGACTGACGAGTGTAAAATCCCACAGTCGTCAGGTAGAATCCATGGCAAAAGGACAAATTCTATTTGTCAACTGGACAAATTGTCAAACTAAAGAATCACTGATGAAATGTACTTGTACTCTATGTACTCTATGTCTAATGTACTCTATGACAATGACATGACATGGTAAAGTACATGGGGAAGAAGCTGTGCTCCAGACCAGAACTAGTAATTATACACATTTATACAAATTCTGATAATAAAATATGCAAATGATATTGATAAAAAAAACAAAAACAAAAAAGACTTTCTTATATCCATCTTGTTTGTAAAGAGCAATCTGGAATTCATCCTGCGGTGCAGGGTAACAACCCCTCACTAAACTACTTTACATGTGGACAACAGTTTAGACAAGAAATATTTTTTAGTTCCAGTTTAGTCTAAAATTGAGTCTTGTTTGAAGGTCATCGTTTTAACTGCTTTAAAAACTGTCACGACTGAAGCTGTTTTGTTGTTATTCTGATGACACATTGTGGGTCTGTTATAAATCTGGTAACTGGACGTGCGCACTCTGTTTGTGCTCAGGTCATTTGCTTAAGAACCTCAATATATGTCCATGTTACGGCTCCAGGCCTTAATTTGTAATTTATTTAGTGATTCCTGTTGTGGGAGCCCTGACTCGTGATTGGTGGGGCGTGTCTACACCCACCTCACCTGCACCCACCTCCCCCTATTTAAGAAGATTACCTGCACCTGATCAGGGCTGCTGGCCTTGGTGGCCAGTCTGCCATTTTGTGTCCGTGTGTGTAGTTTAGTTTAGTTCTGTTTTGTGCCTTTTTTCATTTGGTCACTCGATTCTGTTTGTGGGTTTATATGGTTTAATTTGGGGAACTTATGTTTTGGTTTAGTGTGTGTCCCTTTGTTAACCACTTGTTTTGTGTAAGTGACCCCTTTTTGTGGCACAAAACTCAGTTTATTCTGTTGTTCTGTTTCTTAGTTTAGGTTATTTTCTGTATGTTTTAGTCTTTTACACCCCTGTTAACTGAACATTATTTAATTTATTCCATTTTATATCTTGGTTTTATTTTTGTTCCTTCCCTGTCCCTAGCAGCGCTGGGTCGTAACAGTCCAATACACAATGCTTTTTTTATTAGTGAATAAATCAACATTGCATTTACTTAATGTTCATGAAATATTGAAGAAAAACCTACACTGTTAAATGGAGTGTAAAATTGTCATGCAAACATGCACTTCCTTTTCACACATGTATTAAAGATGGATACATTTCTTTCACTTCATTACATTCCACAGACAAACACAATAGTACGAGTTAGTAACAGTAACAGAGAAGACATATTATCAGGCTTATTCGTATAGTGCAAAATGAAATGTATTTATTCATTTGAATTCAGATCAAATACTCTCAAGTCTGTGGAGGCTGTGGGTTTGTCTGCATTTTTGAGAAGCACTGGATTAGATATTGAAGACTTACTGAGCATGTGCAGTTCCTACATCCATCGGTCCAGCTCTCGTCCTCTCTGTAGACCACGCCCTTCACACTGCATGTGCGCTCACAGTAACAGCCGTCCAGTCCATTCATCTTCTCCTCAGCCCGGGACAACTGCTCACAACAAAACATGAGGTAAGACAAAGAACAATTCAAAGAACAAAAGAGCAACAAAGAAGTGATGTCATCTGATGTCCACGAGGCCCGGCTGTGTTTCAGAAAGGTGTTTCACACTTCACGGTTTGGCCCTGTTTGAGCCCGGTTCAGATTAAGTCCCGTTCTAGTCCAGGTTTAGGTCTGGATTGTTACAGTTTTGGCGGGGTCCATGTGCAAGTGTGAACACACCCTAAAATAATAAGGTACACATGTAAAGAAAGTGTGCTTATTCATATATGACTTTTATGCGCCATATCAGTCCTCAGTCCTCAATACTCAGTTCTCAACAGGAGGCAAAAGTGGGTAGAGCTAAAGATAGGAGTAAACAAAACAGCCAGCCGTTCTGCAGGGTTCCCACTCTTTTTCGCTGACAAAATTTCAGATGTTTTCCATGACTTTTTCATGACCTGAAGTGAATTTTCCATGACTTTACTGCACCTACATGTGTAGAATTGATCAGACTTTTAGGTCTAAATATGAAATGTGAAATCTTTCCACTCACTTTATGGTTTGGGATTATAGTTTTTAACATTAAAAATCCTGTCAGTGCATTTACTGTTGTCTCTTTGAAACAAAAGGAGCAGACGTTCAGAAATAATCAGAATAGTCTCATGAGAACTTAACAGAACGCTGGAGTTGGTTGAAAGACATAGTAAAATTCCAGGTCTTTTCCAGGATTTCCATGACTGTGGGAACACTGTCTGCCACAGTGTGTGCTACAACTGAAATGAAGTTTGAAATAAAAATGAGATTTGTTTAAGATGAATCACCAGCTATAACTTTGCTCACATCCACCAGTACCCGATTTTGTTTGAAGAAAGTCAATTGTAAAATAAATAAGCCACCTACATATTATTGAACTGTAATAAAGCAAATTAAAAAGTAAAAATACTGTATATATAACCGTATTTTAGATACTGTAGTATGTAAATACATGTACATTACTGTAACTGTCTAAATCAGGGGTGCTCAATACATCGATCGCAATCTACCAGTCGATCGCCAAGGTCGTGTGGGTGGATCACCGTGTCTCGCCTCAGACTCGTGTTTGGACTCAGTCTTGTCTCTCACTCAAGGTCTGACACTCAACAAGTGTGATCATATTTCATTACGGCCGCTGCTGTTGGTAATAAACTTGTAGCGGGTGCAGGAGTGTGTGGGGCGTCTCAGTGCAGCCTGTGCGCTCATTTGAAACCCGCGGAGACTCTACGGCGCATCACAAACACACACGCTCCCTATGCACGGCTCGTCTGCGACAGCGTGTGCCCTCGTGTACCAGCGTGCATCACAGGGCAGGTTCAACTTCCTAAACATCCTACCTGTCCATCTGCCTCACGTCAGCACGCCGCCCCTCGCCTTTTCACGCTCTCGCTCCTTCCTGCGTACAGCCAACACAAGCCCCTCCCACAGTGCGGCTGATTAGAAGAACAAGACCAAACGTGAAGCAAAAACCAGTCTAAATTTGTGTTCCAGTGTTGGCACACAAAGCAGGTCTACAGCATAGAGCGGATCTACAGAACAGACCTACTGCCACATTTGGCTGAAGTTTGTCTAACAAAAGTGACAAATGCATCTGTGTTTGTCACGATGTGCGTTTGGTTTGGTAAATGTGCAGAGGCTGGTAAATATCACTGCAAAACCAGAAAAGAATGTAACTCCAGTTTGGAACTTTAAAAAACAGGTTTAAAAATCTTCCTTCACTTTTTTCACAGTTTTGTGTAAAGTGCCAGAGGAAGTTCTCTTAAAGAAGAGGTTCTCAAACTGTGGGTGAGGGTCCAAAAAAGGGGCACAGAGTGTTTCAGTGCAGTTTGCTTGGCTTTGTATTAGGTAGATCATTATGACTTGGTCATTTTGTAAGTAGCTCACATGCTGAAAAAGTGTGAACACCCCTGGTCTAAATCACAAACAAAACATACACGGTTACTCAATTTTGTCTTTGCACGACTTCTTATTTTTGGCTCATGACACAAAGGCGGAGTTCAGGAACTGACAAATAAGGGTCAATTTTGAGCTCAAGATATTTAGTCACATGATAAAGGAAGTCTCAAATACAAAACAAAGGACATGAACTCATTTTTGACCAAACACAATGTTGTGGCACTGTGCCTTTTGTAGTGCCCAATACAGCCCTGTTGTTTGGCTTTATATCTGGGTTTCACGTGACGTCACAGGGCTACGTTTGTCAGCACACAAAATCAGATGGAGGGCAGGAAGTGAACAGACTGGAGGAAAATGCCGATGTGTTGTGTAGTTTACGGCTGTGCCAATCGTTCTAACCGAGAGACGGAAAAGCGATTTTTATTTTTTAATTTTTTTAGAGTACCGAATATAGTCGTCCACAAAGGTCAGAAATGGGAAAAGCCGACAGAACAACGCCGTAAAAAGTGGATTACAAACCTGTCTGCGGTCGGGAGGAGCAGAATTCGCTAATGCTCATGTCTGCAGTGAACACTTCATCAAAGGTTTGTTACAAAGCTACATTGTTTTTTGTGGTTTACCTAAACATAAACGAATCATTAACGACTAACGGCGAACGACGTTTGTTGACATTAAATAGTTCAGATCGAGGTCACTGCCGATACACTGGAGTTTTTAACATTAACAGTCTTTACACATAAAATAAGAGAAACACTCACCCCGGCAAAGACCAAACCATAATCATCATTTAGGCCACAGGCGTCAAAGATAAGGCCCGGGGGCCAGATCCGGCCCTTCAAGACCTTTAATCTGGCCCTCGGCTGGTTTTCTACTAAAATATTTTAATTATATTTCTTATTAAAATCTTGGTAATTTCCTGTGTTGTTTATCACAGCAGCATCTCCAGTGTCTCTGTACGTGGCCCCTCCCACCAGAGCAGCACAAATGAAGACTTGTCTCTTAAAGGACGATCGATTTGACTGTTCACTGTGACACCTTCATCAGAAAAATGTCAAAAATGAGAAAAGTGGAGCCGAGTGCAGGATTTTCCAAGAAAAATTAATTTATTCCTATTTGCAGACAAGTTAATGTTAAAACTGTGTTGAAATTGTATTTTGTAAGTTTCAGGTTGTTCATAATATTATAATTAGTAAAAAAAAAGAGTTCATCAATTAAAAAAAGATTTCTCTAATAGATTTGCGTTTCTCTGCACAAATATTTGAACTTATTGTCATTTTTGGGGTTTATATGACATGAGTTTTCTGATCCGGCCCCTTTGGGATCAAAGTAGGTTGGATACGGCCCCCGGACCAAAATGAGTTTGACACCCGTGATTTAGGCGTTTTGGACTAAGGTTGAGGACCCATCCACTGACAAAAAAAGTTCTATGCCTCCAAACTTTTGTACTTTGCCTTCATCTGTTGTCTGTTGTAGAACTAAATAGTTTGTGATCTCCTCTGCCTCGATTGTCAACAAATCTTTTACTTCGGTTGAAAATTCTCTCATTTTCAATAAGATCAGGGTCACGCCCAATATATTTGTCGACTAACTGCTCGTACTTCTGCCTTGCTACTGGCTCTAAATCCTTACAATAAGAACTCTTCTCCATATCTGTGTTGTCCAGAGCCGTGTTTGTCGTGTTTGTCTTCACTTCCTGCCCTCCACCTGAAATTCACGCATCATCGTGATCACGTGACTGAAACCCTCCTATTGATAGTCTGAAGCTCACACAAACGCATCCTTCACTGGTAAATCACTACTATCTCAATGACACAATGAAAGCACATTACCGGCGTGGCATTACGTGTGCAGAGAAAGACGTAACACTAACAGTGGATAGTGTTAACAGATCTGCAAACGTGACGTGAATTTTAATGAGCATTTAGGAGCGGATACAGAAGACTATGGCATAATCTGCTGTTGTAAGCAATCCCCCACACTGGTAATTACTGATCCCATTTCAGATAGGGAGTATGTACACTGCAAAATCTATACGCGCGATATCTGACATGGGTTTAAATGGCTTCAATCTGGAATTTTAATCTCCATTTCTCCATTTTTATTTTATTTTTTTGCACGATTCATTGTTTCTGTGACATCAAAAAGACCGGCGCAATTAATCACATTTGAATCTTGATTACAATGATTGTCGCAGTAAATTATAAAATTGGCATAACAATAAAAAAAGACAGTTGCATTCTGTTCGAGCTGATACGAGCGCTTGTTCTGCCCCTCCAAAACCCGGAGCGCTTCTGTGGTCTCATTTACATAGGCTTTTAAAAACATGACTCACGCACATTACTCACACCACATTTTAATAAGTCTTTTCTTCAACCAACAACAATAACAGGTTTTCAAATACAACCCAGTAAACTGTGAAAGCGGCTCAAACCTGACGTTTTCACACACGCTCGTCTGAAATATCCAAAATTCTGCAAATGTAATTTTCTTTTACCTCATTGGCCGGTAAATCTGCTTAAAAATAAGTTGGAATAAGTCCACGGGAACTGGAGAAACGGTCATTATAGTTGTACGTTTTTATTGCAAATGGACCAGAGACAGATTTGACTTTCTTTGTATAGACTTGGACTGAAATGAACCAATCTACGGAGAGCGTGTAATAACTGTGCCACCAAGAGAAACGGCATGACTGAGTAAATGAATGAATGAATAAATAAAGAGTAAAATATGCAAATAGGCTCATTAGAGGATACACTTTAATACTGCTCAAATTAAGATCATTTTAAATTCAAGTCATTTTAAACTTGTATCATTTTTTACACTGAAAGCACATTAGTATTGAGACTTTGCAGCTGATTTCGTCAATATTCCTTGACAGTGTGACGCTAACTGTAAGCACTGTTCTGTCTGAAGCTCTGTTACTCAAGTTAGATTTTCATCTGAGTTTTTTAAATTTGAAAACAATCAGACCCGAAATAGATGACTTAGCTGGAAGTACAACACGTGCGCTGATTTGCGTCGCTCTCATTACATTACATTACAGTCACAAGGTGGAGAGCATTAAATTATTTTCAGTTAGGCTTCGTTCAGACCAGGGATGGGCATGATTAATCGATTAATCGATAATTGATTATTAAGAATTTCATCGATTACATTAATTTTAATCGACAAACCGAATGTATGTTGCTGTGTGTAGTGTGACCAAACAGGTGTGTACATGTGTCTCTGCATCAGAAGGAGCGAGACACAAACAGTGGGTCAGTCTGCAACGTACCGAAGCACAAATGTGTATTTAACAATGACTTGTACAAGAAATTCCACACTTTCCGTTGTGTTCGGGACAAGTGTGAGTCCATGTGCACAGTGTATAAAGCAGGAACATACGTTTCGGTGTCCAGTGGGAAAATGTTTTACCAGGTGAGAGTCGCGCAATGTGGATGACGAGTCCCCACCTCCCTCCCCCCGTACGCTGTCCTGGTTTTGACAAAGGCAAATCTGGTCACACTAACCTGTATTCACCTGAGTCATGTCTTTTAATCCAACAGAAACTGACCACATCAGCGACACAAGAGCTGGAGTTTTATCTTCGCTGAGTTTATGCAAATTAGCGATGCAGTTTTAAGTTTCGTTTCTGTGAGAGTTGAACAAAACTGAATTAAACACATTATAATCTGTCTATAATCTAATGTGGCTCGAGAGTGGTTAAGGTTTATATGTCGTAAAGTTGAATTTATTTATGCAGATTAGTAGTGCAGATAGTAATAATGATGATCATTTTAATATAAAAACATTAATGATTAATCGATAATCCATCGTTAATTCTTCCGATGATCGATTAAGAAAATTTCATCGAATGCCCATCCCTAGTTCAGACTGCAGGGAAATCCGATGTCTTTGCGAAGTCGTTCACATTTTCAGTTAAATGTGACTTGTATGTGATCTCCAGTGTGAACACTAAACGGTCCAAAAGTGTCCCGCACGTGCACTGGAAACACGACGACGTCAACCGCAGTGAGCGTGCTCTGTGTTTACGGAAGTTGTGTCTTGAACATGGACACAGCATTGAGCACATGGAGATTTTAAAGTTCCTCTCGTACCGGAGCCAGAACATGAACAACTTACTTGTTTTAAGGAGGAGATTGAGAAGGAGAAGGACGAGGTTTTTGGCAGTGGTGTTTTGTGGGACAGCGGCAGCGACGTCCGTTGAAAGGAACGTGTGGATGCGGAGACGTAGCCAAGAGTGGTGGGATAACGATGTGCTTCGATCAGTGGCACAGAGTTCATTAACAATTTTCGCATAACGAGAAGAACGTTTGTGTACATTTGTGTCTTGTTGATAACGTGTAGGTGGATGAATGCTCTTTGGCCGTTCAGACTGAAGTCACATGACAAAAGATCAGATATGTATGGGTTTTAGGAGCACATATCCAAGTGTCCTGGGTCACACATGAAAAAATCAGATTTGTGTGGTTCAGACTGTCATTAAAAGATCAGATACAGGTCACATAGGGGCCAAAAAATCTGATTTGGGTCACTTCAGGCTGCAGTCTGAACATAGCCTTCGACACACTCTAAACTTCTAAACGGGTCCATGAATGATCACAGGCTCCTGAAAAAGCGTTGTTTACCTACAAAAACACTGTCATATACTGTAATTTCTGGACTAGAAGCCGCTACTTTTTTCTCACACTTTGAACCTTATGGCTGGTAAAATGATGAGGCGAGTATAGAGTGTAGAAAGAGCCACTGTCTGTTAACATGAAGTTGCAACAGTAGCTTGCGCTGTTGTCAGCACTAGTTAACAGTTTATATGTATGATAAAATAAATTATGATGCTAAATGAACATTAGTGAGGGGGATATGTCTTAATGACCCGTCTGTGTTAAATGACCCATCTGTGTTAAATGCAGGTATGCGTAAATGATGAGAAGAAACATGTCAAACTTCAGTAGCCAGACATCTACTCATACCTGATCCATACAACTAGCCCCGCCCCGGGAGAGCCTGACCCTGCATTCATTTATCCTTCCGAATAATTTTCCAAGGAAGTTGCCTGGTGACACGCGTGACACACCCCTTTTACTGGGACTGTGCGGCTCGGACCTCGGTGGCGGAAAAAGTTGACCGAGCAAGGATTCCGAGTCAGAATCCAAGACGACTGCACCCACTGCGCCGACTGTGACGTGTAAATATGAACTGTTTTCATTCTGTTTGGACATAACTATTTCAGTTACTCTTATTACTGCAGTATCTTACCGCGTCTGTATCACTGTCTGTGGGTTTGGGAGTCGGTGTTGTGGTGAGGCCAATATTGAACAAATACTTGATTTAACGGGCAATAACGTCCTTGAGGTTGTAACAGAAGAGAAATCATAACATAAAATGGGAACACTTTATAATAACTACACCTTACTTAGCCTTAATAAAGCATGAACAAAGACTTAATTAATAATGAACAAAGATTTAATTAATAATGATGCACTCTTAGTAAATGCTTAATAAAGCATAATTTTTCTTCACTTTAGAAAAGTTCTCAGAAAGACTTAACTAACAGATAACAGCTGCCTGAATGATCATTGCATTGCATTATTAGTAAATCATTCTCTCATAGTTTACTAATGATTAATAAATGCTCAAATGGTTAGTTCATGAGTAATTAAGTATGAAATAATTATGAGTAACTATTTACATCACAGGCAAATTAAGTGCAAGTGCTAATTAAGGTAGTAATTAAGTAGTTACTAAGCGTGAATCATTATTACTTAAATCTTTGTTCATTATTAATTAAGTTGTTGTTCATGCTTTATTAAGACTAAATAAGGTGTAGTTATTATAAAGTGTTACCCATAAAATTAAGTGCAAATTACCAAAAATTAAATGAATTAAAGAGGCAGCGTTTTCATAAGATGAGGGAACAGTCATAATCATAATCCACATAGTGTGACACACAAAACATAATAACACACTTCAAGCTCGGACATGACAAGATAATCAAACATAGGGTGACTCTTTCTGCAGGAGACATGTGCAGTAGAGCGTGGGGAGAGACTGGGTGATGATGCGCTGAGGAAGATGCTGTTTGATTGTGTTTGAACAGTGATTTTGTGCTTCATACACAAAACCTCCTAATGGAAAACACACGAAGAAATGCAGATGATGCAGCTTTTAAGATAAAGTCGATTGATGTGGCTGTGGAAGAAGGAAACAGAGCTGCTGCACGTGAGCTCCACATCAGTGAGTCAATGGTGAGACGTTGGCGACGGCAGCGTGACGAACTGACTCGACGCAAAAACACAACAAACTTTCAGAGGCGATAAAAGCAGACGGCCCCAACTTGAAAACGTTCTTAAAGACATGGACACCTGAGGCTTATTCAGGTGCGACCTATAGGCGAGTTTCATTGTTGACAAAAGCGTGCGTTGCATGCTGGGAATTATTTTGGTCGGCGGCAATAAGCACTAATTCAACATGACGGACGGAGCGAGAAAGCATGTAAAGGGTATTGATCCTGGTTATTTATCCACTCTAACGGCAGAGGACCCAAGACCATTTGACCAGAAATTGGTCATAAGCATCGATGGAGCCAAATCACCCTTTTCAACCCCGATAAAATGAAACCAAATTTCTGGTCAGAATCACCAACTACCTGGACAAATATTCACTTTGGTGATATCCACAATGACTTGGTGGAAACTCCTGGGCCATTCACAGCAGAAAAGATGAAAACCTCCAAGAGTCTCGATGTGTTGTTGAACTTGTTGGAGTCCACGGTTTGTTAGGATCTTCTACGTTTGCTCTGTGGATGTTTGAAAGTCGTTTAATTCACCGTTAGTGGTTCTTTTCACTCGGAATATGAAAAAGACATTTTCCTTCTTCCGTGCTTCTATGTGCATCCAATAATGCAGCAGGAATTTACCATTATCGGGGATAAATACGCGAGGTTACGCACTGTGTTTGACCGACCGCTATCCTGTTTCTTGCCTCCGATCAAAATATTTCCCAGCATGCAACGCAGGCTTTTAATAACAATGACGTCAGCTGAAACTCTCCTATATATGTACAATTTTAAAATGTAGCTGATGCAGTATATTCAGGTGCCCTCAATAGTCCAGAAATGACAGTAAACAGATGTAGAACACAACCAGTGTAAGTATCCATACTGCATTGTGTTACCTTGCTGGATGTTTTGGCCAGGATGTCTTGCAGCTCCATGATTTTCTGCACCAGGCCGTGGAAATCGTTGCAGGTGGGACAAGCTGAAACGGGAGACAGAGGACAGGGTTTCATTTAATGCAATGAAAAAGCAACCGTCTGCCACAGATATGCCGCCGAGCTAAACATAAGAGGATTTACATTACATGTGTTAACGTGTCAGGTCCAATATAGAAAGCCATCAGTGGCCTCAATAATGTGAAAAAGATAAGGCTTATATAGTGCAGATGTGCTGGATAAGTGGTGGGGGGAGTCTTTTGGTGGTATCCAGTTGTCTTTAGTGCTGATTTGAAATGACATGGATACATTTAGAGCTGGTTTAACTCTTTCCCCCTTGGACGCCCACAAGGAACAACCCATACATGTATGACTAGAGCTCCCCATACAGCATAACTGTACAAAAGAAAACAGACTTCCACGACTGATTCTAAATGATTTTCACACTCGTGAACTTAATTGAAACACAGACATATTTGGTATCTCTGGAAACTTTAGACTCTGAACTCTTCATTTATGGATGTTTAAATGCGATTTACAGGTTTATAACAGCTCGTTGAAAATGAGAGTTTACCTGGTCAGGTGCAAAATAAAAAAATAAAAAACTACATTCAGCATCTGATATATGCATGTTCTTAGTACTATATTCAAATTATATATATATATATATATATATATATATAATATATATATATATATATATATATATATATATATATATATATATATATATATATATATATATATACTTTGTCAGTATCTGTATTTAAACAGATTTCATATCACCAGATACAGTAAAGCCAAGTGTACAACTGTTTTTACCTGTTGTTCACCTGTGTGGACCTAATTATTTTTTTCCATTTGACTTATTCAACTAATTTAGATTATTATAATATAATAATATAATAATAAAACTCTTCCCCATCAGTGGGTGTCCAGTATTTGTCATCTTGGTTACTTTCTCTTGTGCAGAGCTCCACATAAATGTTTGTTCCTGTAGCGATTCTGTCATACATTGCATCTTGGACTGAAATATTTTAAGGACTGGCCTGAGAAACATCCAGATTTCAGGGCAATTTTGGTTCATAATCGAGTATAAAGCCCAGATAGTTTGTTGGGACATCGCAGGACTCCACACAGACACATCAGCAGCATTCTCACCTTTGTAAGTTTCGCTCTCTGAAAGTCCCTCACTCTCACTGTTTTCCACTTTATAATCAACTTCATCATCACTTGAAATGTATAAAAGTCACTTTCTCTAAACTTATCCATAAAATACATCCGCTCCTCATTATTTCTAAAACTGTGTGTCGCAGCGTCGCAATCTTTCCATTACACGTGTTTCGTGTTGTGTTTTTTCCGGAAGCTACAATTGTCACTATTTCGATTAACTTTGGAAAAAATCTGTGAAAACGTATCCTTGGAAAAGAGTTAAATGCTGTTAGAGCGTTAAACAGTGACCACCCACCACTTCTGAAAGTAAAGTTCTCATTAATTGTTCCCATAGACATTAAAACAAATTATCGAAAGTTTGAAAGCTTGCTAAACACCACAAGACAAATGTAACAAGTACTGTATATAAATCTCTAATTTATGAAAACATTTAGCTAAATTTTAAGCTTTAAATGTATTAACTCACTCACGTCCCACATTCACATTAGGCAACGTCTTGCTGAACGACACAACAACACGTACATTGCTTGCTATACTTCTATATCCTGTACGATCACTACTACTTTAGCTCATTATTTCAGCAGGAGTCTAGACTGAGTCCTTGTTTTGACCCAGTTAAGTCCTGCTTCAGACCAGTTTTAGACCCATATTCGATTATAAACTCACTTCTGTTGAGGTCGGGGCACTGGGAGATGTAACCCTGCGGCATCACCAGGATCTCCACGTCCTGCATCACCCCCTGGACAAAACAAACGCAAAGTGATTAGTTTATTTTAGGTCTGTTGTGCACAGGAAAATTGACAGCATCTTCTACATATTTACGTATGCACATTTCTAAGGCGCACTTACAATCCTTTAATTTTCTCAAAAATCAACAGTGCGTCTTATCCAGTGCGCCTTATGTATTCATTCTGGTTGTGCTTACTGACCTTGAACCGCTCAAAAATCTGTCAAAATGTTTTAGTACGACTTTGGTAAACTACAAAGCCGCACCACTTGATAGATTGTCGGAACATTACGATTATTGTACACATCAGGACACAAGGACCAAACTGTTTTTTCAGAGCTTATAGTTTATGCAAATGAGCCATGTGGTTTTAAGTTTTGTTTCTGTAAAACGTAAACAAATATGCGCAAAGCTGCATTAAACACATTATTTTTAGGGATGTAACAATAACTGAAACACTGTGAGTGTATCGTATCATCAAAGTTCTCACAATAATTTCGTGGATCATCACAATATATTGAATTACAAGTCTCTTCGCTTAAATGAAGAGTTATGGTGTAACAATAGCTTAAAAAAAAAAAAAAACAGAGGGAACTACAAAGACCATGATCCTTTGCTCCATTTCAGTGCAGACTACAAGAAGAAATAACAGTTCTAACACTTTTAAGTTTTAGTTCTTTGGATTAAGTCTTGTCAAGGCATTTTAAGAGGAAAAAGTAGCATATGGGTTTGGTCAAGCAGTAACGGAGGGAAACGGGCAGATTTTTGACATTCAAATGTCTCTTATTCAGAAACTAGAGGAACTATTGAAATAAGTAAAGCATCAGAATGTAGGAAAGAGTTACACTCCAACAGGGTCAAGTTAAACCTGTGATATTCTTTCAAGTTGTTGACAAAAAATTTAAATGAATGAAATATGCAGCACTTTTTGGGCAATAAATCCAAACAGTGATAACTCTTGGTTCTCACTTCCATATCCTTAACAAACTGGTTTGAATATTTGCTTCATATAGTTTTCTACCATATGGTACAAGATTAGGTTGAAAAACCTCTTACTTTTTGACTCATGAGATTTTTTATGAAGAAAGGTCATGGTAACGGAGGGAAAAGTAACGGAGGGAAAATTGTGCAAACAAGTAGAAGGTGCAGGATTTTACATCATTTGTCGCTTTTTTCTTCCAAATACTTTAATATTACTTCAAAATGAAAGGAAACTATTTCTATAAAATATGTCAGTCCTTCCAAGCAAATTTTTATCATTTTAAATAAATTTTTTGGGAAAAATCATGTCCCTTCATCAACAGTTCAAAGATGGAATAACACAAGATATGATGAAATACATCCATTTATTGACATGATTTGCAGGTCTTTGAAATTTGGGAAATAATTTTTGTTCCATGTTTCATACATGGTCTGTTTAAAACGTATGGAACTTTAGAACCAAAAATGGTACAGAAAAAAGGTCAACAGTTTCATAAACTAGAGTACATATGTATCTGATCAATACATTTTTATATCAGATGTATTAACTTGAATTTTTGGCCTTGCTGTTTACTTCTGCTTGACCGGACCTGTATTCACAGTTTTGTTCACTTCCACAAAATATTGCAATAAATATCGTACCTTGAGATGTATATCATGAAAATATTGTACAGAGAGATTTGATATTGTTACATCCCTAATCTTGAGCCTCCCCTCAATACGCACGATATCACAATAAATATCGTACCATGAGGTTCATACTGTGATGATATCGTATCGTGAGACTTGGACATTGTTACACCTCTAATTATTAATCGGTATATTTGAGTCGTCCTCGTAGGAAATAAAAATCAAACGTAAATGATCCATCCACTTTCACATTCATAATCCACATTCACCAAGACAGAGAGACAACACCGGACGAGTTACACCACGATCTGCCGATAGATCGTGGACGCCTGGACTAAGGATCAGTCTCAAGTGTCGTCCGTTTGTTTCACTTAATGCTCCTTATAATCAGGTTCATCTTATGTTTGAAAATAGAAGAAGAGAATCCAACATTACTGATATTGCGCCCAAAAAACTACAGTAATTACAAATACAGACTACGGTTGCATCTTTCCTTCAGTATGAATCTGCTCGTCACTTGTAGAGTCTTTATATTTCATTAAATGTAAATGTTTTCTCTTTTATTTATGGGTTGTTTGTTTTTTCACTTTAAAGCAGAATTTCCAGACGCGCTCTCTGCTGCTGCTCACGTCAGCAGAAAACGGGGATGAGATGTGCAGAATAAAGTCAGGTTGTGTTCAGAGAGCACAGTGTTCACATCTCCAGGAGCATCCACACGTGAGACGAGTCCCAGCTATTTCCAAACATGCTTCTAGAGACGAAAACAGTACAATAAGGTACAAAATGTTTCTCTAAAAGACAGGATATTCTTTTATATAGAAAACTGCAGAGTTTGTGATTTGATAATTGTGGTAAGTGCGATGTGGATTCGTCCTCTTCTGGACACACACTAGGATTCTTGCAGTCAAAGCGTTTGCTGCTCTGTGGGAGTTTTGGCTGTAAGTGGATTTCTCTGGTGCATTTTCCTCCTGACAGCCATAAACAGGAGATACACATTCTATTTACTTCAATAAGTCTCAAATGAAAACCTTTTCCCTCACGCTTGTTGAGGTTTAGTCAGAGATGGAGCCTGGATTTGAGCTGGTATGGAGCTGGATGAAGCTGATATTATATGTTTCATGCTGTTCTGGTTTAAAACTCAAAGCCCTCCCATATGGAAAAAAACTGGAAAAAAAAGATAAGAATTTACCAGTGTCTTTGTAGTAAATCTTTATATAAGGTTAATATGTGTCATGTGTGGTTTACTCCTGAAAGTGTCCCCCTTTTGTATTTACTCATACAACTATATTATAAAAAACTAATAAAGATAAAGTGAACATTTTGCATGACATTTACAGGTAATGTACATGATCAACTACATTTTCTTTGTATGTTCCATATAATGTTTGTATTCTTTACTTATATGTTGCAGAAAAAACAATCAGAGTCTGAAGGGGGATTTGAACCCAGGTCGACCATGTGAAAGTCCAGTAACTCATTTGACGTCTTGTCAGTTGAGTCATGTGAAAAAAACATAAGTGTGTAGCTGCTTTTTGGAATATTACAAGTCAATATAGAACTTTGTAACAATTAGGATTTTGCAGAGTAAAAATCTTTTTACAGCCTGATGTTTGTTCACTGTGAGATCAGTGGAAGATGTTTTTTTAAGGTTGTAATGCAATATTTACATTACTGTGTTTACCCCCATGCTGCACACACACACACACACACACACACACACACACACACACACACACACACACACGACACACACACACACACACACACACACACACACACACACACACACACACACGCAAACACACACGCAAACAGAGACACACACACGCAAACACACACACAAACACACAGACACACTCATACTGATAATTTTCTTTCTCACTCTCACACACACACAACACAGTAATCAAGTTTAAAGAAACAAACTTCATTCACTTGTTTTTCTATGAGTCTGTGGTAAAAATGACCTTTGTCCAACACTTGTGAGGAGATTGTGTGTGGGATTAGTGTCATGTTCAGCTCTTGCAGGTTACAAAGTTTTATATGTTTCATGCTGCACATATTTACCAAAGATCTTGTAAGTGTTTTCACTGTCATATACAAATCTTGTAGGATTCAGATAAAACATGTTCAAATGGTGTATGATTTGTCTCTACCTTTTCCATATGGGCTTGCACCCACATGACACCCACAGTCACAAACAGCAACAGACGGTCATTTTTAATATAATACTAGTATTTTACTGTGTACTAATCTGAACATCAGTACTTAAAGAAATCACATGAATTGGTACAAAACTGGAAATTTCATGAACAGTTTTAGAACAATATAGACATTTCATCAAAACTAGAGTCAAGAGCACATGGCAATAATACTGCAAACACTGTGCTGAAAATTATACTCTATAGTAAAAAAGTGTTATTATTAGATTTTTTAGTAACCAGATTTCTAAAAGGTACTGTAACCACACTAACCAAAACCCCACCTCATGTCTAGCTCTCTCTTGTTCTAATTTTAGTTTTAGTTCTGGTTTAGTCCTGGTTTAGTTTAGTTTTTGGTATCAGGTTTTGGATTAGTCCTGGTTTAGTTCTGGTTTAGTTTTTGGTTTAGGTTTTGGTTTAGTCCTGGTTCAGTCCTGGTTTAGTCCTGGTTTAGTTCGATTTAGGTTTTTGTTTAAGTTTTGGTTTAGTCCTGGTTCAGTCCTGGTTTAGTTCCGGTTTAGTCCTGGTTTTGTTTTAGTTTTAGTCCTTTTTTAGTCCTGGTTCAGACCTGTTGTAGGTGTTCCTTTAGTCCTGGGTTAGTTGTTTGTTTTAGTCCTGTTTTAGGTTTTGGTTTAGTCCTGGTTTACTCCTGGTTTAGTTCTGGTTTAGTTTTTGTTTTAGGTTTTGGTTGAGTCTTGTTTTAGTTTTTGGTTTAGTCCTGGTTTACTCCTGGTTTAGTTCTGGTTTAGTTTTTGTTTTAAGTTTTGGTTGAGTCTTGTTTTAGTTTTAGTTTTAGTCCTGTTTTAATCCTGGTTCAGACCTGTTTTAGGTTTAGTCCTGTTTTAGTTTTTGTTTTAGGCCTGTTTTAGTACTGTTTTAGTTTTTGTTTTAGTCCTGTTTTAGTTTTTGTTTTAGTCCTGTTTTAGGTTTAGTTTTTGTTTTAGTCCTGTTTTAGGTTTAGTTTTTTTGTTTTAGTCCTGTTTTAGGTTTAGTTTTTGTTTTAGTCCTGTTTTAGGTTTAGTTTTTGTTTTAGTCCTGGTTCAGACCTGGTGTAGGTTTATTCCTGGTTTAGTTTTTGTTTTAGTGCTGTTTTAGTTTTTAGTTTTAGTTTTGTTTTAGTCCTGTTTTAGATAAAATTTTTGTTTTAGTCCTGTTTTAGGATTAGTTTTTGTTTTAGTCCTGTTTTAGGTTTAGTTTTTG